GTTTTGGAAAGAAATGACACCCACCTCTCCCACAGGGGAATTGTAGAAAAAGGGGAGAGGCAAAAGGGGTACACTGTATTTATAGTATTGCACCAAAGAAGAAGAAGAAAAGAACGAGGAGGGGCTCTAACTGATAATGAACACAACTACAGGCTTGGAGGTCCTAAAAGTCAGGTATAAAAGGAGCAGTTTGGGGGTTTAGAACACATTTTGTGTAATTATAACAATGTGATTTATGACCCTGTTACAAAAGCACTAATGACTGACCTGCAGCTGAAGCAGCCACACCTCTGTGTGACATCATGAACACCGGAAATTACACCTGTTTTCACCTGCCGCATCTGCAGAATGAGATTTAAATTCTTATGGCTGTTTTTAGCCTTGGTACTCTGAGGGGGCTAAACTCGCGGGAGCTCCTCATGTTTGAGTCTGCAGCAGGTGGGCTTTCTCACCGTCCTCCAATCACAGATCATTTCCACTCCTGAAACTGAAGCAGGCCGAGAAACGTCATCAAAGGTCAGACACCTGGACCTGGTTAGATCTGAGGCTCTGACCCAAACATCCAGACAGCTGATGGTGATGAAGATGTAGGCTTCACATCATCAGTGTGTTAATCCTACCGAGTGCCTCCGCAGAGGCACAGCAACCAGACCGTTTTACTCACTCACCGCTCCGACGAACACCTGCACAAACAAACATCTGCACAAATAAACAAACATCTGCACAAACATCTGCACTCTCAGTGCTGCTGCTCCTGCTCGCAGATGTTCGGAGGAGGAGTGAACATGCTCCCTGTTCTTGCTTCATGAGTAACATCACATTTTTTGGCACATTTTTCGTCGCAGTATTGGACGAAAACAAATCAAAGAACATTTAACGCTGTTATTTCAACGTTTTCACGCGTGCGCGGATGTTTAATTGACACTTCTCCTTTAAGAGAGCTTTTCCTTTAACACACCTGACCACACCTGAGCTGGACTTCCGGGTCTTTCACAAAGAGAAGAAACAACAACAAGTCGGCGGAAGAGAGCCGGGACCAGGATTAAAACCAGGATTAAAACCCGGCCCAGGTCTTCAGCGAACAGGTGGGTTTTTTCTTAGTGTGAATTTCCGCTCCGTTAGCATGTAGCCTGTTAGCTCGGAGCTCAGTCACAGTTTTTATCATATTTGATCACAAACGTCACGTCGCCATGTCAACTTGAGACTGCCGTCATGCAATGGGCGGGACTACCGCTACCTGCAGCTTGTGTTTTATTTGTCACAATTTCAAGTTCAAAAAACTTCAGAGCATAAAAACAGAAATTTTTTAACACTCCCGCGCGCGCACACGCACGCATATAAACAGACAGTTGCGTCATATACAAAGCTGCGTGTAAGAGTCTGTATTGATTATTGATCATCAGATCAACACGAAACTTTCACACCTTCGTTCGTCCACTCTGAGCTCTGAGGGAGCCTCAGGAATGGAAACGACATTTTTTCGCCTGATCTGTTCCAGAGCAGGTTAGATTAACAGCAGTTACCATGGTGATTTACCTCAACAAGCAGTGAATCAGCTTCATAGTTACGTGAAGTTACCTGGGTTTTAGTGGCGATGTGGGCCCCCCTAAAGATCGGAGGGTTTGAGGGTCATCAGAGAGGATGAGTTTGTCTGGACCGAAGTCCTGCACTTCTAAAATAACAAGCATAAAGCAGAACAACAGGAGACTAAATCTGAGTAAGAACAACACAAAAGCACTCAGAGTTCATCCTGATATCAAAGCCAGAGAATAAAGATGAGTTTGATGTCAGGGCCTGATGTGAAGAAGACCCGATCCCCTCTGTGCTTTCATCTGGACCACAGTCATCCACTGTGCAAACTTCAGAAATCAGAGAGGGAACAAGAAACCAGAAAAGAATAGAATGGGCCTTTATTTTTCAGACTCAACGAAACGAGGTTGTTTTCCCACCGCGGAGCACCCGGGTTTACCTCCATTCTTGCCGGTCAGCTCTTTTTTGCTTCCGAGGCCTCATCGGAGGAAGCAAGCAGGCTTTTTTTTCTGCTTTGCTGGCTTCGCAGAGAACTGGATCTTCAGGGGCTTTACTCTTGGGCTGCTGCCAGTAAAATACGCTTGAGACTTGTTGGAGCTGGTTTAATCCCCACAACCCCCTGTGTTTACCATCTGGGTTGTCACCTGAAAGCATGGAAAGCCACGGCTCATCACAATAGGAACCCTGATTTACTGTGTGGCTTACTGCACTGTGCGGGCTCTGTTCCAGGCTATTCTACAACTGTCCCGGTGGGTCTCAACATTAAAATGATGTTAATTAATGCCCGCTCAATTGCCAACAAGTCTTATATTTTAAATGACTTGTTCTGTGCAGAGACGCTTGATTTAATGTTTGTCTATGAGACCTGGCAGCGTGAGAATGAAGTCTCACATCTTTTAGAGCTATGTCCCACAGACTGTTCATTTCTCTGTGCGCCTCGGATATCTCGACGAGGAGGTGGAACAAGCTGTAATTTTTAAAAAGACATTTTCATACCAGTTGATTTCTTCGAGCTGTTACAACTCTTTCGAGATGGTTATGATAAAAATTGGAAGAGATCAGCCCATGTACGGTATCTTAATTTATCGTCCACCTGGGTCTGCTGCGTCTTTTCTGGCAGACTTGAAAGAATTTTTAACTTCCACTATTAAACTGGGCAAGGTCATCATTGTTGGAGACTTCAACATTCATGCAGAGGACTCATCAAATAGTACCACTAAGGAGTTCCTGAGCATCATGGACTCTATTAATTTTGTTCAGCATGTATCAGGCCCTACTCACACTGCTAGGCACACTCTGGACTTGGTCTTCACTTATGGCGTTTCCCTTGACCACTTGAATTTAAATGACGTTGTCTTTAGCCACCATAAGTCAGTCTCTTTTAATGTGTTTGTCAACTCAGAGTCTCTTCCCCAAGATTTTGTTAGCTGCAGGCCCTTTTTTGATGACTCTGTTATTTCTAAATTTTCTTGCCTTTTTGATTTTAAAACTTCTTTTGACGATGTTGAGCTCCTTATTAACTCTTTTAATGAACACTGTCTTGCTATTGTCAATCAGGTTGCTCCTTTCAAAGATAGGCATTGCTCTGTTAGTTCCCGCACACCCTGGTTAAATAATCAAACTCGTGGTCTTCGATGCTCCTGTCAAAAAGCAGAGCGTCTCTGGAAGTCCACTGGTCTGGTTGTCCGCTGCTCTCGCCGGCTGGAGTGACCATTGAACCCCCCGGCTTGCTATCAAGCGGGTGGGTAACAGACGTCTCTGAAAATGTCGGCACACTTTTGCAAATGTACGATGTCTTGACAAACCAAGAAGATATTTGTAATTTACACAGCTACTTTCTTGCCTGAAAATATGTTAAGTTTATTTTGCGACCCAGAAAGATTAATAAGACTAATTTTAAAACTTAGTAGCGGCCGCCATTGTTGGCAGCTGAAATTTGGCTGGGCCGCGCTATGGATTCTGGGATATGGTGGGATACGAAGGACACACCCGACCCATCCTTCAAATTTGGGGAAATGAAGGACACATTTGTCGGCCGCATTGGGACAGCCTTCGTCGCCTGGCTGTGACGTAGTCGGCCTTCAAATGCGGCCTCCGGAGGATGCTGCCGACGTTTTGGGACACAGCTTACGTTTGGTTGACTCTGTGGAATCCTTTAACCCTGGAGAACCCATGGGGTCAGAGCCGACCCCATGGGTTCTCCAGGGTTAAAAAGCAGTTAAAAACTTTTTTGTTTAAACAGGCCTTCTGCTAATCAACAATTTTGAATTGTTTTGAATTTGCATTGTTTATATTGTCTATTTTATTACTTAATATTTTCTTTATTTTGACATTTGTGTACAGTGCTTTGTGACTGCCTGTCTACGAAAAGCACTTAATAACTAAACTTTACTTATTATGGGCGCTCCCCGCCAACTGTGCCGGAGTTCAAATGTAAATAGTAAATACACGTTGGGAATAAATGACACACAAAAATAGGAAAGGCACACAGCGGAGAGCAAAGAAAAGACTTGGACTGAATGTGTGAGTGTCCTGAGTGATGGGGGTCACGCAGGCCATGGCTCAGATGGGTGGGTGGCGTGCATTTGCTAAATCAATCATGAAACTTAGGTGAAGGTAGCATTTTTTTAATGTTTGTGATTCAGAATTTCATGTTGAGAAGAATTCTACATGCTTTATTGTGATGGCAGTGAAAGTGTCGTCTGTTGGGTTCAAACATTGCATCAGATTTCAAAATGATCTTTCACACAGTCTATATAAATGCAGGAAGCCAGGAGGTGGAGAAGGAGGCCTGCATTATGCCTTAGTGATCAACCACATCACAATTGAAGTACTCCAGTGTTTACTCCAGTGTTTCAGCACACACAGGTCGTGAGCTGTGTGTGGCACAGTTCCTTGTATCACCTGTTTACTGTTCACTTGGATTTACCTGACCCACTCTCTGTTCTCTGGCAGGTGCATTTGCTCACAAAACAGGACGCGCCATGATGGAGGACAGCGGAGGGAGGAAGACCAGAGAGGGCGAGGACGAGGAGACGGTGAGCTCAGTCGTGACCGAGACGAGCACGCTGCCGTGGTCTGCAGACAGACAGACGGGTGGACGGACAGGTAAAGCTGACAGGATGAGCGTGAGGTCAGGTGTGTTTCTTCCCGAGGCGTCGAGCTGCACAGAGAGCGAAAGAGAACTGAAGGCAGAGGTGGAGAGGAGGTGCGGCAGAGCGGGTTTAGACGAAGGAGCGGAGCTACGTGAGGATAAAACTAGGGTACACCTGTTGGAGGAGGAGCCCCGAGAGAACCTCCTGCCAGAGAAAGCTGCTCAGGTGTTCAGGCCTGCAGTGACTGCCCTCCACTCCCCCTCCTCACTCAGAGAGTCTGGGCCGCTCCGGGAAATGGAGTCCGAGAAGAGTCCCTTCCTGGGTCCCCGAGGAGTTCCCGAGAACTACAATCAACATTATTACCTGGACGAGGAACTGCGCTCCAATAAACGTAAGTACTAACTCAGAGACTATGTCAGAAAATCACATCACCTTGCATCAGGAGGAATTGGTCAGGGGGTCGGGCACACCTGAACAGAACCACCTGAACCACCTTAAAATCTGTAGATTCTAGACGACGCTCAACTAAAACGACTGGAATGACTCGGATACTTATACATATTAGTGAAACCAGTCCCTGACAATCACAAAAATGCAAATGTTGAGGTTTTTTGGGGGGTTTTTAAAAGTAAAGTAAAGTAAATTTTTATTTATATAGCACCAAGATAAAATCACAAAGTGCTTCACAGAAGCAGAAATGGACATGAAACCTCAAACAAACAAAATCAACCAAAAACAAGTTTAAACAGGTTTTTAACTGCTTTTTAAAAGACATGACTGAGTCCACAGATCTCAAAGTGAAAGAGTCGTTTCAGAGTCTGGGAGCCACTGATACAAACGCTCTGTCACCTTTTGTTTTTAACCTTGTATGCTGGACAACCAGCAAACCTGGTCACAAGACCTCAGGGACCTGCTGGGACGATAAGGAAGAAGAAGATCACAGATGTAAGTTGGAGCTACACGGTGCAGGGCCCTATAAGTCATGATTATGATCTTAAAATGGACCCTGAACTTGACGGGGAGCCAGTGCAGTTGAATCAGCAGGGACGTGACATGGGAGTATTTGGGATGCTTTGTCAGAAGCCTAGCAGCAGCATTTTGAACACCCTGCAGTCGTTCCAGGGAGGCATTACTTAAGCAAGTAAACAAGAAATTACAATAATCTAAGCGAGATGAAACAAAAGCATGAAGAATCATTTCCA